TCGTGGCACGATGCCTCACCATACGGGACAAGATCTGGCACATGACCACTTTCGAAACCTCAATCATATCGAGGTATCTAACGCAGATACGTTTCTGGAGTCATCCGTGGCGTTATTGACAATCTGATGGGAAAAGGGTAAATTGGGTGCCGCTAAGGATTATACGAGTCCGACTAAAAAATGGTAAATTGCCATTCCGTCGGGAATTCACCTGGTGCTTTCCTGCTGTCATGAATTTAGCACGAGTTTGATACCAGCTTTTGGCCTCTGCAATAGCGAACACGGAAGGCATGCTGCTCAGTCCCGGTTGTATCACTTGTTTCATTATCCAGAATACATTAAGGCTGACCCCCAATTTTCTCAGCAATTTCCTTCACGATGAATCCGGCTATGGTGTCCACCAAACCTTTCTGAATTCGAACGCTCGTCTACACCGCATTTCGAGGCCTGGCAACGAGTCCAGATGCAATCGTTGCATGATCATCATGCCATGATGCAACGATGCACTGACAACTCGACAATACACACATACATGTGTGAGGAGAAAGAGCTCAGCCAATGGACAATAGAGTTTGCACTGTACTATGCAGAATCATCATGTGCTGTGAGATTGAGTGGCTGTTCTTTTTTCCTAGGATTTCCGGAAAAAAAACGGAAGGCGAGCTCTCATGACCCATATTATCTGCCGAGTAACTTGATAAAGACCGGTCACCGATCCATCGAATGCGTCGATGACTGGCATGACTAAGATAGCAACATGACGATGGGCAACAGCCATGAAGCAGCCATGAAGCTGCTACTAAGAGCTGCTAGGGATCTCTATTGAGGAACTTGGAACATCGGAAGCGCTCTCAGCAACTATAAGATAGGCTCCATATTATCGAGTATGAATGATCATTAATCTATCAGTGAGTTCATTGATGATTTACGTCCAGAACTTCCACTGTGAAAGTTCCAGGATGGTTCCTCTTCTGAATCATATCAAATTGTGACTGCGAACTGCCTTATTCAAAGAAAGGCAGCCCTATTCTAGAGACCGCGCTGTTCATGTAGTTGCACGGAATATCATTGATCATAGTCCTACAATGATCCGAGGTAGTGATGGTATGATGACTGTTCAAATTAGTCCTCGTTCAATTATTATTCAATCCATGATCTTACGAGGGATAATTTGTTGGCGAGCGAGAAATATTTTGCGCTGAAGAGTGAGGCCGCCGCCGCTTCTATACCGAAAGCTTGATGGGACCTACAAAAGCGTTCTTTATTCATAATAACACGAGGGCGATAGTGCGCTTTTGTGGACCAACGGCTAGACTGATCCATGTCACCTCTGAAACTATTCTTCTGATTACACGGGCATCTTTTATTTTTCGCTTCTGACCTACGGGCATCTCATCAATAATGTCCGTAACGTCTACCAACAACAACTTGTTGTACTGAGTACAGTGTGGGAAAATATGCACATGGTCAATCTGACCAGGTCAACTACGTACGTAGGTGACAGTAGGGAAATTCTGAATAAATTTTGGGGAATTTTTATCGGTTTCTGTACACTTCTAACGTACTTCATGTATAAATTCTTGTGATTAGTGAGGAAACTCGTAAGCTCAGTTGAGGAAAGCGAATATATATTCCGACACTGTTGTACTTAGGGGTTAGCAATCGATAATCGCATTATAGTTATCCTAAGTCATGTATCGATTTTTGACCACTTTCACTCAGTTCACTAAATTAGCAATAACAACATGCCTAAATTAAAGAAGGGGAATCAGGACTATTCCCTACTCCCAGTGCTACTAGCTTTCTGGCTGGCAACTCCCATAGCGGCTGTCATTACTTTCTACTTGCTGCAACGAGACCTGCAGGCTCTCTATTCAGTGAGGGAAGTACTTCTTCGATATATTAGAGTTCATTGATAGGTTGAACTGATAGCATTCCTTGCATCTGCTGTTTTTGGCCTAGTGGGAATCAATCCGGATAGTAAAGGGCCGATCATACTTGGATGTATCTCGGCCACGCTCGGTAATATGGGATTCGGTATCACTACGTTCAGTCTAGGTGAAATTAGAAGAAGTTATATCAATGCTGCCCTGAGCCATGTGTGAAAATATGCACATGGTGTTGGTGACAAATTGCCACTGACAATATGAAATTTGTAATGGTTTGTGTACACTTCTACCTGAGCTCTGTAGTTACTGAGAAAACTCCTAAGTTCAGCTGAGGAAGCGATTATGTATTCGAACTCTGAACCTGGGTAAACTGACCTCAGGTACATTTCTCGGAGTTGCTACTGCATTCACAGCAATGGGAGTGTGTATACCAATGCAGGCCTTTGTAATATGGGAGGGGAAGGTGCAGGGATTGAACCAGGGTGAATCGATGCAGATATGCGCATTGGCCGTTTTCCACTATGGAGAGTTCGTGTGCAACTACTGTTTCCAGGATCATGAGAGTATAACGTAAGTGGGAAACTGTAGCCCATGGGTCAAATTAATATTAACTAGCTGACAGCATTACCCCTATCATATGTGAGTGGCGATAGGATTGTGAATAATGAAAAAACCTGAGTCTCTGATTTAGGGGTAAATCAATGAGCAGTGCGAGTGAACGCACGTCGGTCACGGCCTTTGTGACTGTAGCATTGCTGTTATTAAATATTTTTATCCGTATGCAACACCTTTTCAACCAGAAATGCAGTAGGTGACATATGGATTCAACTGCAGGGTCAGTGTTTGTCCTGTAGAACATAAGGCATGTACCAGGTACATGCAGTTGGTCGGTCAGTACTGCTCTTTATTCAGTAGTGG